TAATTACTCTTCCATCCTATCTATTGTTTTCATTCCACTTCATGTTAAATTTGATTCAAATCTCTATTAAATTTCCTTCAATTGATAAGTTATAGCAATTTTATAATCATTTTGAATGTTTAATATAATTAATCACTCCGATCTGAATCTCTGATCAGTATCATCCGGTAAAATACCCTTCCCAATCTTCGTCCAATCGATATGACGCAGCTATTTTCTCTCTATTTCCTTAATTATTAATTGCTCAGTGATAATATCGTCTCTTTTGTCTCTGAATGGCAGACTTACTTCGTATCCAGATCATAAGTGATATAAGTACAATTTATCTGTGGACAATTTCCCACAAGTGAATAATCCGGCTTCAACTCACTGTTCCTCACATTAAAGCAGATCAATCGATACTTAACTGCGCTCTAGTACAGTTTAACAAGCTGCCTCTACTCCTCAGTCATCTGCCCCTTTAATAACTTCTTGGTCGGTATCTCGGCCTTGATTCATAGACTCCCAACAGTCAACTACCTGTAGGTCGTAAAATTAGCTCCCACCCTTCACTTAAAAGTAATTGACTAGAAAGTGAGTGAGCTTTGTATAAAAGATGCACAGAAACTTCCTCTTCTAAGATTTCCCTAGATAAACAGCGCCTGACTAATTAAGCTCTCTCTCTCTTCTTTTATGGGAGCCGCGGCGTGATAAGGTCAACCTGTCGTAATCTATGGTTTTGGAAGATTCTATCCCAATGATTTACCTAATGAGATTAAAAGTCGGATATTGGCTAACTTTTAAGAAGAACTGACGCAATTAATAAACCGCTATTATAATTCTCTATTTTTTACCTATCTTTTAGAGAATTAGCAGAGAATGGCTTGAATCACATATATGTTAACATTTTAGCGTACTTTTGCTGTACTGATTGGATATGCTCGGGTGCCCACTGCCACCCACATAAGTTCTATTTCTTCCTAAGGTCACAACTTAATGTCTCGCTCAACTTATTTCTACAAGCGGTCTCAATCTCCTTGAAAATGCACTTTCTGTTCAACCCTCCATAGGTGTAAGCCAAGTGAGGTTTGCACGCAACCTACCAATATGATTTGGACGTAAACTGTAAAAATGGGGCTGCATCAAGGCCAGGGCAAATCCCGTGAATTGCGCCACTCTTGCGAATTGGATAATTGACAACTTCAAATAAATCTGCTAAAGCTATTCATTACCCTTTTTTCATGAAAAGATTACTAATGCAATGTAGTACAATGCTTCAGTTTCAATGTAAGTGGGCGTAAGTAGTAAATGGGAAGGAGTCATTTTCTTCAAGAATCTTATCTATCTTTGCAACGCTCTGGAAATAGTAGAATTCAATACATCATAACATCAATTAAACACGAGCCTCCTCCTTTTTTTATCGAGTACGTATTTGTTCGAGGCTACACGTTTAGGCCTTGATTACTGCCTACACAAATTATGCCCTCTCCAAAGTACAATGGTATTATACTCAAAAAATAAGAGTCATTGCTCCAGTTTGAATCATACCCCTGGGCTTGGCCACTTGCCTTAAAGTGCATTCCCAAAGTAAGTTTTTAACAAAACTCGCAACACATACACGCACACACACACACACACACATCTGAAAAATACCGAATAATGAAAATATGCTAAGAATGTTTGGCCGATATTGATACCCAACTAACATCACAGAAATTCAGTCTGTAGGATTCAAATGCTTCTCAGTGGAAGGGCTGAAGCATAGTTTAAAAATTCAATGAAACCTAATACTTATATATTAGGATTGGTTAGGAAACTCTCGTCTTTAAAAACCCCCTCTCACTTCTTTCTTCTTAGTACTTGGAACATTAAAAGGCAATCGTTTATATCAAATTTGTTTGATCCTCCATATGGGAACACATTGGTCAAAAAATGAGTTTGAACCACTTGAGTCACCTTACCAAGGCAACTTTGAACATTCGTGAAACTCTTCATTACCTGCACTGACTCTCACCACTCGAAAGCCTCGTTCTCATTTAAAGAGAATTGCCTTTTTACTTCTTTCCATTTGTGTGTGACTTGGGTTCCGCACGCCCTAACCACATACGTCGAAGGTACACCATTCAATTAATGCTCTTCTATATGACCTTGTTAAGTCGCTGAGGTCAAGGTCTCTCGCGTTCTTCATTACTAATGCTACACGGGAACTGGGTGACTGACTACATGGATGATTTTAGTTTGTCAGGTTAATTATTGTTCTGTAACAAGGTTAACCATCTCATAAAGCTTAATTATGTAATTTCAATGAAAGTTTGTGCAACCCGCAAACTGTGGTGATGAAACTCTCTTCTTGCAATGTTCTAAAGAGGCTCTCTTAAAAGGATGTTTTGAGGTAATAGCATACAGTGGCTAGTTTAAACTCCCTTTTAATTATTAGTCTTAAAGGTACTATTAGCATGGTTACCTTTAAATCTCGCGTTATTTAAGCAAACTGTGTTCACTTTAAAATTTGCTGGCTCATTTTTCGGTCTATATTAATATCACTTGGAATTGTTATTCTCCTTAAAACTTCACTCAATCTACGCACAGATATTGGACCATAAAATACGCTGGGCGTATGCTAAAATCACGCATTTTAAGACCACTCCTTTTGCCTTAGAAACTGGAATAGACCCCTCCAATGGGGCTTACCGAGAAGACACGACTCATTAGTAACCTATGTTTCTCATACTAATGTTAATAGTTATAGTGTTGTTATAATTTCGGCAAAGTTTAAAGTAAATAACAACTGTGGTACTTTTATACACTTGGCAACTACATCAATTAATGTGACCTATTTTGAGATATGATTATAGAAAACTGAATAGAGGTTTTTTACTCATTCCCATTATGTTTTCTTATTTACTAACGTTTGTTCAAAGACGTTTGGATTTCCTGTTGGCATGAACACCTGCCTACAGTGACCCCAGTCTATTGACATCCAACAGTTATTGACTGGCAGTCATAAAACTTTCTTTAGTGGGTGTAGGTTTAAGATTCATTAGTCATTAGTGAGTGGATATCTTTACTAAAAGGATTTCAACTCTTCCACTTTATAATAAGCTTAATCTATTGACGACCAGCTCCTACACATGGAAAAAGTGTAGGCAAAACGTGATCTAATCTGACAAATCGAATAGAAACCTAGATAGATTCATTTCAGTAGAACCAGATTCCTTCTTCTCATCTTTATTCCAGTATTAGCAGCCAAGCTTATATTAAAATCCATAATTAAAAGTGGCTTAAACAATTCTCTTCTAATGTAGTAAGTTAATTTAGGAGATATTTGGGGGAAATTTATTTCAAACTTATAACAAAATTGTCCACAATTTACAAAATAATCCAGGAATTGTAAAAATTGCACAAGAGTAACGGCTTTAAACACAAGCGCATGTTTAGACTACATAGTGCCAGAAAATCAAAATTGTATTTCTGTTATCACGGCCAGCAGAATGTATATATTAATCCGTATTCTTGAATTCATCGATTGATATTTCAGCTGAGTGCGTTAATTTTTTTTTGCTAATTGACAGAGAGTGAAGTTGATAAGCACAATATATTTACTTAGATGTATCATAATATGATTATTTGTCCTTTAACTTTCCCAATGCTAAGATATCAAACAGCGTGATAAAAGTAAATTATTTATCTATCATGTTGATTTATAAGTAACTATTTCCTAGTCTTTGGTTTTATGGGAACAATACTAATTTATTGACTAATATTAACGGACATTTTAAAACTTTGTTTCCAAAAGTAGATATGATTCCCACGTTAGTTATTTGTAGTCTTCACAGTCAAATTATATTATGCGTGAGGTAACTGAGGATAACTTGGCAATATTACATTTTAATGAGTCTAAACTTTCACTAATTATCACCAAATTCTCGTCCTTGCAGTTTAAATGCATTTATTTTTTGGACAGGGGGTGTGTGATAGACTTACCTCCACGTGGTGCACCCTGGGCAACGTATTCTCATACGGCAAAAAAGTCTATTAACTGGCAGTTGACTTCTGAATTCAAACTACCCTCACCCCATTGTATGTCATATTCGACTACTTCCATAGTACTCACCTCACCTTTTTTCTACCTTCGTCTTTAAAGCACACTTCTGTTCCCTCCCCCCCCCTCTCTCGACTTTTTTCCCCTCTGTGAAGGCTGAAGTCAACTAAAGGGCTAATGATAAACTCTGTGAAGACTGAAGTCAACTAAAGGGCTAATGATAACCATCAAGATGCCTGCCATTTGATATAAATAAATAAATTTTTTGGACAGATCTCCTCTACAGCAGTTGGATAATAATCATTTCTCATTCCCTTTTTCAGACACACTAATTAATTAACAGTGTGTAAATATGATGTAATTGCCTAGCTTTTCCCTTTGCATCAGCGTAATTTTACGTAATTAAATATTATGACAGTGAACGCACATTGCTTTTAAATCAACCGTTAACCGTGTCATCTTTCCGTGATCATAGCAACACATGCGCATGTCCTAGAAGTTAATTGGTCATTTACTTATGCACAATGTGCGGTCGTGTACTCTCGTGCCTCTTATTGGTCACATGTCAGCCAATTAATTGGCCTTAGTCTGGTGAGCAAATGGGCCCAATGACAATCACACACAGGCGCGAAAACCGAATTACGAAACTGTAGGCATTTGCAATTGGCACAACACACAGATTCGCTCAAACGGACAGGTTGGTTAAAAAAATTCAAGCTGTTATTCGGTTGAAACGTGAGTGTGTATTTCCTACGTGCGTGTCTGCGTGAAGTGCGTGTGCCTAAATGTTGTGGGTGCGTATGACCTCGACGAAGGACCAACCACAGTCTACTCATACCTTTACCGTGTCAGTGAATTATACATTCTTACGCGTGGGTGTCCCACCTATATAAACGCATTGATTTAGCACTGTTTCAGGACTAATTATATCGGCACATCTAATTAACGTCTATATTCAATGGAAGCTTCAGTTCCTGGTATGGAAAACAACACTATGCTTTCTTATCCAGATATGTCCCCTCCTTTACTTGAAACTATTATGCGACTGACAATCGAAAAAGTTAAAATTCAACGATCTCCTCCTCAATCTCAATCGCCTCGACCTGTGAATGATTATCAATCTCAGCGACTTACTCCCTTTTCTCGATCGAAATCAAACAGTCTCCTCCGGACTCTTTTAATCATCCAAGTTGGTCGGAAGACCAGCCGACTACTTTCCTTAATCAGTCAACCGGAAGTATACCAACGGACTGAACAAACTCCTGCTCATGTTCAACAACCTTCCCCAGTTCAACTTCAAGAAAAACAGCAGCCTAAAAGTGGTGGCAAAAGACGATCCTCTTCAGATGATGAGGAAGTCCAAAGCGAGGACGATTCTACACATTCTTTCGAAGAAGATTCCTGTTCCACTGTTGGTCCATCCTTAGAAAAATCGCCATGCTTAGAGGAGGTGACCAAGATTCACTCCGGCCAAATTAGCTCAGAAGAAAGCGGTTCGCTTTCCGATATGACTAATTTATCTCCCAAGTCTCCTTCTTCATCGTCATCTAATATTTCCTATAATGAAAATTGTTGTCCTGGATGTCAATGTTGTTCCATATGGCTGCAAAAACGACAAGAATCCTCCAATTTCCAACTCTGTGAACCCGTACGACAGTGCTGACAGTTAAGTAATACTTTAACCAGCTACTTTGTAAAAATTTTACTCTTCTAATTTGTTTATTTTATTCGCCTTCTTGTACCATATCCATGACTATGTACAGTGTGGAATAGTAAATTTAATCTTTTCCTTTAAAGATCGATATCTTTTATCTTGCCTGTTTATACTGAAACCAGTGTGATAAATAGGCTACTGCGTATTACATCACACAATTTAGATCTCCAATCTAATCTTCAAAGTTGGAGCTTCAATAGAGTGATTAACGTGGACTTGCGGTATGGTAACAGGGTAGTTTATTGCGATGGGTAAATGTAAAGGTGGCTGTCACTCCCCGTGCTTTTCCAATATAATGCATAGTTACAAAGAGTTTAAATGAATCTAAGTTTCGCATTTATATTACAATTTTCTTAGCAGTTAAATAAATATCATCCGATTTAAATAATGACTTATTATAGTTAATAAATACGCAAATTGGTAATATGTGTATACATACATATGTTCCAATTAAACCACGCAGTGACTCAGGATATGTGAGTTACGCATTAAGTGTGCCTAGAAATTTTCACGCATGATAGAATTATGAGCCAAGTTTGAGTGGTTAAAGCACTCAGTGGTAATTAAAAATATGTTAGATAAGAAAGAGATTAATTACTTAATTTATGTAGTAGTCTGCTGCTCTTACGAAATGGCAAATAATGCGGGGAAAATTTGCCAAATCGTTTTGGAACCTAAAAGCGGTAAAAGGTATGAATAACTAAAATTTATTGGCTAATGATTAATGGTGAATCATATTCTCTGCCAAAGTTAGCCTTATTGATTGAATTTCCATTCCTCTAAAAATATCTGATTACTTTCATTTCAAGATTGCGTGCTTGGGGCAGAATTAGAGATATCTGGAAATTTGTTTACAAAGTATGACTCAAATGTGTGAATTAAATGTGAAGAGCGCGCCAACTTTTTATAACAAATAAAGCTACGTAGCCTTTGCATTTCAAGGGTAAGTCACATGAAATACGATTGATTTAAAGATAAAAATTCATACGAAAAATATAATCTAACAATACCTTTTATGGTGTAAATAGGGTCTGTTCCACTTTCTCTTTTGAGGATAATTAAAAAGCGTGGTTTAGGAAAGATAATAGCTTTTGTGCCCTTTGTCTTCGTGATGGCGATTATCTCAATAGAAATTTTGAAATTATCTTCCTTCAAAGGCCATTATTTCACCACCTAAACACCATTTAACAAAACGTATTCTTCACAAATTCGTAATAAAAAACCATTACGACCCTCGAGGAATAAGAAACAGCTATATTCCTTAGGGAAAAGTGAAGTCAATTATTAAATTGTACATGTTTAATTAGTGATTGAAAAATATGAAAGATACTAAGTTGACTATCTTTGTTCAAAATAGGTCAAAACTTTTGAGTTCATTAGTATTAATCTACTTTAATAAGACATAGGTTAAAATAATTGTAGCTTCAGATTTGGCCCCCACAAAACCTTAACAGCCCAAATTGATACATAATTTGAAATATTTGAGGTTACTTCGAATTTCTAACAAACGGTAAATTAATTTTACAATCAAGCTCTTCTTAAGTAAAAATCTAAGTAGAAGAAGAATGCAAGTCATAGGAACTTTGAAGATAAATAAACGGTATTCAAAGTTTAGCCAGCAAAAATCGATGATATCAACAAATATCAGTTGACAGCATCTTTAAACACATAAGAGTAACCCGTAATCGTCATTGTGCATGGATTCTCTTAAAATCTCTTTTAAAGCGTTAATTTTTTTATAAAAAAAGACAAAATTCGAGGTAAATTTAGGTTGAATTAGCCCATTTATCTTTGTGGGAAATTTCTGTTTATAACAAGTTTACTTTGGCGCCTATTTTCGTCCATGTTAAATATATGTGCAAAGATTTCCGGGTAATATTTAAGTGCATAAAATGGTATTGAATTGCCTCTGACTGTACAAACGCTTTAGGCTAATGGGAAACGTGCACATTTAGTACTACCGGGTTTGGAATCAAAACACAGGAGTTTCTGAAAACCAGTTCTAATGTTTGCGGGGGCGTATGTCCATAAAAATCAGCCTAAGATACTTTTGGCTGCCTCTCTCCACTCACTTGTTGACTTCGTCCATTTTATGGGTTTGCTCCCGTTCATCCCAATTTGTGCTAATGGCGAATGGAACACCTATCTTCGTGTTTACCATTGATATTGACCTGAATAGACCAGGAAAAGGAAACAGTAGTTTATTTCCACCTTAAAAGCATTCAAAATCCTCCATAATCAAGATTTTATCATTATCTTGCTGCGTAAGTGATTTATAAGTTTGGAAGGTTGCGCACGTGATATGAAATTATCTATCACGCACATCTGAAATTAATTGAAGAATTGATATATTAATAGAGCAAAGGTAAAATGCAAATTGCACGCGTAGGTGATGATGCAATTTATCATCTTTTCAAACGAGATTTAAAATCTGGGGTAGGATGGGGGGGAGGGAGGGATGAGGGATGGAGAAGAAAGGATCAATAGTTATCGTATTTTTAATTAGGTGTTTGGCAAGTGATTTGTAATAATCAGACTACTTAGTATATATTAACGGAAAATTCAAACAAGTGAATGCTTGCTTTTATAAAGACATGAAGAAAGTTAATATATCCCCTGCAACTGAGCTCCTTATGTGAAAGTAGTTAATAAATCAATGTTTTAACATTCACTACATGATTCAGAAAATTTGAGCTTTCATGACTAATTTTAAAAATATTAATCAATATAATTTTGGTCAGCCTGAAAAAAAGGTGTTTTTGAGGAGATTTTCACTACTAATTCCTTCTCAATTTGTCCCGGAATTTATTTTTAAAAAACTGTGTTTGTGGATGAGGAATATTAAGGAGATGCTATCTCCCACTGAGTGTGTGCACACACCATATGGCCAGTTGATGAAAAATATGAGAAAAGCGTCAGTACAGATTTCTGCCATACTTCGAAGGAAATAATAAATTGACTGTCCGAGGCTGGTTTTTACCATTCCACAATCCTGATCGCTTCTAAATATAGGTTGGTTGAGAAGATGGTGCGCTTCCATTGGCACGTGCTGTAAAAAAGTCAATTTAGGTTGTACTAGGGATATAAAGATAGTTAATTTATGGAAAATATAGAAAAACCAATTCCATTGTTTGATAAACGGAGAATACAAGCAAACTAAGTCAATTCGCTTCCCAGAATAAGATATTAATTGGTTAAGCGGTTGCTAGTTAGTCAATCAAATTTACAAAATTCTGGATTTCTGAATCTTCTTGCTATTAATTCATTAAAACAAAAGACTATATAACAGAGATACAACTTTTAATGCAATTTTTCATGGAGAGTTGGATTAACCAAGTTCTGAGCTAATTTTCCCACATGGTTTCATATACTGTTTTGGCCCCTACGTTTACTCCATTGAGCCAATTGAGAGCTTTTGCTTAGCTTTCAGGACCATTGAAGGAAAATAATTTTCAGAATGCATGTTCGAATTCTTACTTGTGTTTAATTTTATAGTTCGATTTCATTGATTGCAGTTGTTTTTGTTCATTCAAGTGGATAAAGTTTAAAAATATATTATTCCATTCTTTTCTTTCAGACTTTAATGTCATTTTTTTCTATTATTAAGCCCCACAAAAATTACACTGAAGTAACATAATTCAGATAAACAAATGCGAGAGATTGGTACTATAATGTCACATAGTAAATGCTTCGAAATTAGACAATGGCAAAGAGTGGTTTCGTCTGGAATTTAAACAAGAGGAAAAATGAAAAAAAGTATAACATCGAATCTATTGAAACTGTTTTTTTGTTAAAATATCTTATTAAGTATTTACCGTCTATTTTGTGGACTCTGCTTTAATTTGACCTGTCTTCTTGCGTACAATCTCTAACAACCTTTCTCTTCAGATAACTGTCATTATCAATGTTTATCCGAAATAATTCATGTGTGAGAGTTTGAAAAAATTTGTGGCTATTACACATTGATATGCATATCACAACTGGGTGTTTTGAAAAAAGCTACTCCTCCATATCAAAGACCAGTTCATTTTGAACCATGAGCATCATTCTTCAAGAAAAAGAAAGCAATTGCAAAGCCATCTTTGACACATCTCCTCGTAATGCCTGCGTACACATGTGATGCGTGTGTATGTGTGTGCGTAATCGAGAGTTTGCCAATTTAAGAGAGGCAAGCAAGGGTGTTTAGATCTATATGCACACGATCAGCCCACAAAAGTACCAAGTGCACAGACCTCAATCCTAATTCAGGTAAACAATCATAATTTATAATTGATTCACGTCCTAACATTCATTGACTTATATTTATTCCTATTCTCCTCACTAAAATACAAAGTTGGGCTTAAAAGCACGATATTAAAACAGAAAACGAAACTAATTTTACCACAGAAGAATCAATTGACCTGGGCCAAATTGAAATCATTTTGTCAAGCCTGAAATTTACTTTGAAGTGGACCGATCAAAATTTTTATTAATTTAATTACACCTTTATGTTACAGGCAAATTGACACAGAGGTTGCATAAACCATGGCCTATGTCTATGGAGATAAAATTGTTGTAAATGGCTCAATTTTAGAGCTGTAGATATATTTTGTGATTAAAGATGTTTCCCATGATCAGGCTATAATATCGTGAAAATGAAACGAAAGTACTTTAAAACTCAAAGGCATCCAATTGGTGTTCTGAAATGCACTTACGTAATCTAAAGGGCCGTATTTGACAAATAAACAGACCTTGTACGTGCTTAAAAGTTAAATGCCCTGTTCAATATTCAAAAAAACAATCGGTATTATATCAAGTAACAGTGAGGTCAATCTGACCAAGATTCAAATAAAGAAATGCAGAAAAAAAAAACAAATAAATTCGGTGATGGAAATCTAAAATATTCACGTTTTTTCCTATTGGTTCATTAGGTGTTAATAATTTACAATATAAAGAACAGCTGCATATTC